GGGGTCGAACCGCGACAATGAAGCATGTGAGCCTTTTACCATTTCACATTCTTCGGTGGGATTGTCGATGAAGCATACGCATTTTCGCTATGTAACATGACTCTCCATTTCAAAGGGAAAGTTGATTGGAAAGAATTCGTGATGTGGTCTCACGGGAAACCGAAGGAGGATTGTCGTGTAAGGAAGTCTGTTGAATTGTGCAAAGAAGCCCTCGACCCACCGACCCGCGACCCCGATGAAATTGTGCTGGGCTTTCGTCTGTACCGCCGTGACAGACATCATCAGAGCAAGATTGCATACTTTACGAAAGAGAGCAAAAATATACTAAACCAAGCGAAAAGCTGACTGGCTGAAAACATCTAACATCGTGATCTTAATGAGGCATCCCATGATTTGGTTGTCTACTTCAACCTTACTTCACATGTCTGCAAATGAGGGAAGTCAGCTGTTTCATTGCACAAAAACTAGCGTACGATCGTCTACTGTTGAATCATGTTCAGGCTTCTGTTATTGTCTATTGTGTGTATGTAATGCTCATGTCATGGGGAAATGTGATAGTTCAGGCTAGACTCTAGGCCAATCCAGCCTCCTCTTCTCTCTTTCCTTGAATCTATTCAACAGCCACAAAAAGTTCCTACTTAATTTTCTACAGAAGGTTGGCTGTTTTGCTAATTTCTATAGAATCCTTAATCTTACACTTTGACGTGAAGTCTTCGTAACCCGCAAAAAATGTTTTGGACTAGTCTATTGGGTTTCGTGTATTGGCAAAATGTGTCCATCGAGCTCAGATTTTTTGACTCACAGACCTTTACAAGCGGTTTCGTGTTCAAATAGCATCTTATGAATGGGTCGGAAGGTCTACCTCACACAGACCTTACCACGTGAGTACATAAGGTTGTTACAGCCTGATCTAGAAAGACTGTCCGAATAATCTCTAAACGAAGGGACAATTAAAGAAAGTGTTAATTTCTCTTGATACATTGTTTTTTTATTCCATTAAATCATTAGTTCACCCAACTTTTTCGCAAACTGGCAGGAAGACAAAATCAACAACCAAGTAGAAATGTCCAATTTTCTATCCTGCGTTTGATAGCAAACTCCCTTACTACAATTAATATGTAATTGTCTACTAAACCTAATTCGTGATTGTCTTGAAACTGTATATCCCTCAATCTACCAATCTCCTGGTCCCTATGGTTTGCATCTGCTAGACACAGACTCTTTAATATCATAGACTTCATAACTCCTATTTTTACTTTAAATTTATAGTTCAAAAAAAATTAAAAAGGAAACCCTTTATATGTCTCTACCTAACTTATTACCTTCTTTGCTCACTAATACATTTAAAAAAGGCAATTTATTTTCCTTTTTATGTCCTTGGTAAACTTGGTGTGTGTATCTATTCAATTTTTTAGCTCAAGGAATGCCCCAAAGCTACGTTCGCCATGTGGCCAAACAGCAAAGTAATCGTCCATATAGCGAACTAATAACTTGGAAACTAGGATTGTCTCTTGAAATACACCATTTTCT